TTGAACCCATGACCATTCGGTCTGTGGGCTGATTCTCTAATCACTGAGCACACAAGTCAGGGCTGGCATGGCTGTTTTAAGGGAAACCCTGTAACCTTTCAGCAGGCACTTTCACTGGTGCCTTCATATGGCCATTAGCACAGTGTAACTTGGGTCCCCATCTCCTTAGCAGACAAAACTGAGTGGTGACAGCTCCCACCTGGTTCCCATCTTCACCTGCACCCCCACCCCCCGTCCTCCAGGGCCAGGTCAAGTGCAGTCTGCTCTGGACACCTCGTCTCTCGGATGTGAGCACCCTGTAGACCTCTGGCATCTCTCAGACATTCCTGTGGGCAAAGCCCAATTCTCTGGTCAGAAGGGTGCTCCTCAGGGCTGGGACCCTGGCGATGCATGGAGGTGGGGGAGGGGTTTCCTGCCGCCCTGTTTTACCCAGGGGCTTCTCGATAAATGGCCATGTGTTCATTCAATCAAGCCCTCGATCCCTAATGTGTATCGGGTGGAGTGGGGAGGTGGGGGGGAGGTGCCAAGGCTGCAAGAATGAGTAAACAATCTGGAAGGAAAGGCAAAACAATGAACAGTGCCAACAGTTCAATACAACTGTGTGGCGTACAGCAAATACGTACCGACTGAGCTGAGGGCATGGCATGGAGCTGAGCCGGCCAGAGAACGCTCCTCTGAGAAAAGCAGCCACTTTGCACTGAATCTAAAGTGCATTGAGTCTAAAGATAATCATCTTACTGTACCACTAAGGGGGAAAACAGTGCCAGTTAAATCAGGACATAATGCTTTTTCACTCAGAATGTTTCCTTCTCCTTATTAAAAAGACTCTTGGCCTTGTTTAGACATCGATTTTTCTGAGTCACTTTTGTACACACATTGAAGGGAACACGTAAACACAATGTAGTGGCTGAGGCCGCCCTAACTTCACGTCTTCGCTTTCAGAGTCTGACTCGTCCGCATCACTTGTCAGCGCTCTGGCCGGTACCATTTATGGCCTTGCCGCCCGGCTCGCTGGCCTCCCTGCGTAAGGGCGATGGAGGGCCAGGGTCTGGCCTCAGAGGCAGGGCTGCTGCCGAATCCCCTCTGCCAGCTGGGATGCTGCCACTTTCTGGATCCTACCAGAAGGTGTCAGTGAAGTGCTTCAGAGCTTAACCGCCTGGACTCGTTTTCCTTCTCCAAGAGGTTCTGAGTTGGTTTGTTAATTGAACACACAGGCCTGTCGGTCTGTCCGGCCGTGGGGAATAACAGCCAAGGGCATTTGTGTGCAGGCAAGGGCAGCGATGCCACGGCAACAGCAACTGTAAGGCCCACCCCAGTTTCAGAGGAAGACCATGTCTTAGAATCGAGGAAATCAGTTTTAAAATCTGTAAAAGACAACAACAAAACCATCATTTCCAAGAAGTCTGGGAGTGAGTGGGTGCCGTCATTATTCCAGCGACTTAGTGATGTCAGGGCTCTGGGTGGACATCTCTGTGCGTCTCCTGGTCACGAGATGGCAGTTCTGCCATCGCAGGCGGAAGCAGGGAGCAAGGAGCAGGGAGCAGGGAGAGGGTCAGGCCTTCCCCCTGGGTATCAGGAAGAGAGCATGCCTCCCCCAGAAATCCCTTAGCAGATTCACCTTCCTCCCCTTGACCAGGACTCCTCACAGGGCCCTCCATGGCCATAAGTGAGGTTGGGAAAGCTGTTTTCCCCTCATCATTTCAAGAATGGGGCTGGGAATGACGTTTGGAAGGTCTGTTACTAGAAACAGCATATCCCACTGCCATCAGATACATTTGGGATTACGGAGTTAACCCAAAATACTGGATGACTATGAAAGCTTTTAATATGGTAATGCGGCTCATTGAATTATGGGGGCTATGCTATTCAGCTTTGCCAAACTTGGGGAATCCATATTTATTTTTCAACTTTGCATAATGCCAGTGAACAACTCTTGCTTGTTCCCAGAATAAGGAAGCGAAGGTTCCCTGGAGCGGAGCTGAAGTGGTCCCACAGGAGGGCTGGGTTTGTGGAGAGTGAACAGAAATGGGGCCCTGGGTAGAGGCGGGGCAGGGCCGGGAGGCTTAGAGATTAATGCTGACCATCGCGGCTTCTTTTGACGGGTACAGCTAATTTGTTTTCAAGAGCCTTGAGGCCCTGCCACTGGGATTTCCTCAGAGTCAGGACTAGGTTGGCACCGAGCTATTATTAGCTCCTCCTCTTTCGTAACCTCCGCCACTTCAGTCTTCCTGATGCCGGTGATATTGGAGCCAGGCTGGCCGGCTTCTGGGAGTGGATGGAGGCCTTTGTGAAATGGCCGTGTGTGATGCCTGCAGACGCATTGATGGTTAGTTCCTGGTCCTGCATTTGGGCTCGGGGTCATGAAGTCCCTTCTGGTCCTTTGGCCAGAGGTGATCTTTCTTTCTTTTTAAATCCCCACAGCAACTTGTGTGTCTTAGGCACAGCAGTTACCATCACAGGAGGTGACGGTTGTTGTTCTTGTTGTTAATTCTCACCTGAGGATATTTTCCCCATTGACTTTTAGAGAGAGTGGAAGGGAAGGGGAGAGACACGTCGCTCGGTTGCCTCCTGAGTGCACCATGCCCCCAGTAGGGGATGGAGAGCAAGCCTGCAGCTGAGGTGTGTGCCCTTGACTGGAACTGAACCCAGGACTCTTCAGTCCCAGAGCCGACGCTCTATCCACCGAGCCAAGTGGGCTAGGGCTCGAACAGTTACTGTGCATTGGGCTTTGTGGTGGGATCTTTTATGGGCATGATCTCGTTTAGCCCTCACTGCCATCCTGCCGCGAGAACGCTCTCCTGCAGATGGCGGTAGTGAGGCGGAGAGAGTTTCGGGTCCCCCAGCTGTTGGGATAAGACTGCGTTTGAATCCAGGGGTGACTCGAGAGCTGTTCTTCAGCCTCCCTCTCCGTAGCTTCTGGCCTGGCACCTTTGTCTTACTTGGACATCGGTCTTTCCCCATTTCCTCAGAAATCAAGCTGTGTTTATGGGAGGGTAAATGGAAGAGCGAGTCAGGAGCTGGATGTTAAGCTGACATTGAATGGCTCCTTTGTAATGATCTGAGTATTTTCTCTCTTCTCAGAATCAGCTTTTGTCCTTTAGCCATCTAATCTCTTCTAAATGCTAGATATCCAGGTTCTAGAATGTTCTGAGTGAAATAATCCTGGCTCCCTGCTGATAGATTTGGAGGGCACTGCGTTCGTGTCTGGGCGGTGAGGCCTCAGACCCCGTGTCCCTGGTTCCGGAGCAGGCCTGAGGCGACGGGTGACTGCTGCCTTTTTCCCCATAACGTCCTCCAAACGCCTTCGCCTGGACTTATCCTTCTGATTGTATACATTTGATTATTTAAACAGGCTTCTTTCCTTGGTTCGTTTCTTGGAGGCGTTGTCTTCATACCTTTAGGAGGAGGAGGACTTACCTTTTCATGTTAATGCATCTCTTTTACTCCGACATTTCTCCTAAGCCGGTCCACGCCCTGTGCCGTACCCTCAGGAGCTCAGGGGCGCGTGCCCCTCCGGCAGCGGCTCTCTCTGAGGTCCGGCGGCGACCTGCTGTGCGCTGGCCCCTTTTCATTACTGTTTTCTTATTAAGCAAAATGAGAGGGTCCCCCAAACCCTCTGCGCCTCTGAAGGCCTCCGGCAGAGCTTGTTTGTTTCACCAGCCCCCCTCCCGTTCCCTCTCATGCCCTCCCTGCCCACCCCCCCAGCCTCTCACTGACTTTGTGCTGATGTGCTTTCTGTTGTTTGTGGTGCTTTACTGTCCCCAAGCCCTTCAGCCCTCCAGAGCCACTCTTTCCTCCTAAATGCATGTCCCTTTCCATCCCCTCCATCCCACACCCAACGTACCTGTGGGAAGCCCCCCCCCCCCAGTATTTCTGAAGCCCAGAGTTCATTCCTTTGCCTGGTGGTTACTTGCCTGTCACCTTTCTTTTCTTTTTCTTTTTCTTTTTTTCCTTTTCTTTTAAATATATTTTATTGATTTTTTTGCAGAGAGGAAGAGTGAGAGATAGAGAGCTAAAAACGTTGATGAGAGAAAAACATCGACCAGCTGCCTCCTGTACACCCCCTACTGGGGATGTGCCCGCAATCAATGTACATGCCCTTGACTGGAATCGAACCTGGGACCTTTCAGTCCACAGACCGATGCTCTATTCACTGAGCCAAACTGGTTTCGGCTGCCTGTCACCTTTCATTCAAATCTCAACCCAATTCTCAACAACCCCAGTCTCTTATCAGCCTCCCCATTCCCCAGGCCCCACCTCCCAGCTCTCCTCCCCCAAACAGGGTCCCTCTGCAGCCGGAGGCACCAAAGCACCGCCCTGTCCCTGTCCCTGTCCCTGTCCCACACCCGTTCTCTCATGCAGGCAGCCAGGTTTTCCCTCAGAACTGCAGTGGGTTGGTCTTGCTTCCCAAACGAAAGAACCGTTTCCCCCTGAGCTGAGCTCCGTGGCTCCCTCCCAGCATGCAGGGGTTTCCCACGTCCTATTTTCCTTCCTGATTCATCCCCTTCGGGTATTTCATGAAGCTGGATGCCACCTGGGAGTAAATGTGCTCATAAACAGTGCCGGGAGCAGATAAAAGCAATGCCGCTGTCGCACAATTAGAAGTACTATCTGTATTTCCTCTCCTGTGAAAAGGAAATGGATGGTACATGCATATTACTGGGTTTTGCTTTTCTGACCAAACACTCGGGTACTGAGGGCTGAAGAAGAGGTCTCGGTCTGTAAACCTGAGAAGCAGCGGTCAGGCCTGGGTCTGTCTGAGGCTCCTAGGGCGGCCGAGGGAAAGGAAGGAGCCGGAGCGGGAGCCAGAGGAGCAATCGCTGAGCCCCACAGTGACCCTGGAATAGTCCCGACTTTGACTTTCAGTGTTTCCAGCAAGTCCCTCCGGGTCTCTGTTCCCGCCTCGCTGACCGGCAGAGCTTCCCGCTGGCTTTGTCTTAGCTCTGGCGCCTGGTCCGGGGATCCGGCCTCTGACGTGTGCCCTCCTGTGTTGTGCCCAGGGACAGGGTGCCTTATCGGAGAGACTCCGGAGCTTCAGCATGCAGGACCTCACCACCATCAGGGGAGACGGTGCCCCTGCTCCCTCAGGCCCCCCTCCCGCGGGGTCGGGGCAGGCCGGCAAGCACCGCCAGCCCAAGATGTCCAGGAGTGCTTCTGAGAGCGCTGGCAGCTCAGGTACGTGTCTCCCCTTCCCCCGTGCACCCCCCGGCCTCACTCACGCTGAGGGGCCCATCCCCTGTGTGCCTGTCACCGAGCCATGGCCCAGAGACTTGGCACCAACACAGAGTTCATCAGACCCATGCCAGGCCGGCCACGGGCAGAGCACTCCTGCGCAGGACAGGAAGCTGCCTGTGGACTCTGACTGGCCACTTGCACCACGTGTGATTACATGTGATTGTCCGGGGACTGGGGTGGTTGGGCCTCAGTGCCTGGACCGAACCTAAAGGCAGCAGGCACAGCTGGCCTGGGCCCAGGCAGCCCTCTCTGCTCTCTTCCTCGCTGCCCTCCCTCTCAGGGGGGCTTCTCTGTCTGGACCGCCCGAGGGCCCCTCCCACCTACCAGGACTTAGGGCTCCGTGCTTCCTTTTCCCTGCGTGCTAACTTCCTGTCCCCTCCCCGCTGAGGTCTACGTCCTGTGGAGTCTCGGGCTTTTTGGAAATCGTGCCTCTGCCTCTGGTTGTCAGACTCCGGGCACGAGGTTGCCTGTATTAGGACTGACCCGGGGCCTGGCAGCTGGGCCCATCTGCAGAGATTCGGGAGGTCGGGGAGAGACCCAGAGGCGGTGCAGCACGTCTGGCCCAGCGCTGGTTTCAGGCTTGTGGAGGGCGGGGGCATGGGTCAGGGTAGGGAGCTGGGCCAGGACTTGCCATTTCCCGGGCTGTTCCCCGGGGGGACACAGGGACCTTGGCCCCCAGGAGCTGAGCACGGCCACTGCCAGCAGAGGGTGCTGGTGAGGGGGGAGCAGACAGGCCTGGATGGGAAATGGAGCTTCTGTGGGAATTGGGCCACTTTTGTGGAATCTGTGGCTGAGCTGAGTGCCTGGTGGCTGCCGCGCTCTTACATGTAGCAACAGAGACACCCAGGCCGCCTGGGCCCGGACGGCGGGGTGCAGCCTGCAGGAGGCACCTTGGCCTGAGCCTCAGGGTGCCCGCCGGCCTTTGGGAGGCCTCAGCCGTGGCTGGAAGGAGCCTGTGGCCTCCCAGCGATGCCAGCCAGGGCCCTCCGTGGGAGGTCAGCCAGCGAGAGCCAGCCTGACCTCAGGCTCCTCGCCTCTGGAATACCCTACACCGGCCCGGGTGGAAGACTGTGGCTTTCCTGCTGGAGAGGGGTGTTTGTTTTAACCCTGGTAGGGCTGGGAGGCGAGGCGTGGCCTTGGCAGGGCGGGCCCCTAAGGGAGCCCCAGGAGAAGCTAGGGTGCAGTCCCAAAGGCCAGGCAGGGAGGGACCCAGGGACCGTGTCGTCTAACCTCTGATTTTACCAACAGAAGGACCAAGGCCCAGGGCAGGGAATGGCCACCAGGCCACCCGCGGGGGGCCTTCTCCTGTGGCCTCCCGGCTCCTGGGCCAGTGCCCTCCGTTCGCTCACTGACCATCCAGGTTTTTCCTCACCACCTGCAGCTTCTGACCCACTGGGCACCCTTTCAGGGATGGGAAGGGAGTGGAATCGGGTATCGCCTTCACCCCTGAGCAGCTCATTGGCTACAGAGCCTCGGAGGCAAGCTGTCATTTGGGAGAAAAAAGGCCCCAATGCTGTGAGGCTCAGTGGGCAGAGCAGGCAGCGGTGCGGAAAGTTCCAAGGGGGACTCACCTGTTGGCTTTGTGGCCTGGACAAGGCTTTACTCTCCCTGCACCTGAGATTCCTCACCTGTACACGAGGAACGGCAGTTCCCATCCATGGGGTTCCGAGGATTCTCGTGAAATAACCACGTAAAAGTGCTTCGGACCAGCCTGGCACTCTGTGCAGTCGCTGCTGTTACTGTCCTTGTTCTTTCATCCACCTACGAAAGCACTTTATAGTATGAGGGTGTCCAGGAGAGAAATGGGCTGCCTGTGGGGCAGTGACACCCCGACATTGGACGGGCCCAAAGCAAAGTTGAGTGCTGTTTGTGTGTGTGTTGGCTACCCTCCCCTGCAGGGACCTGCTTCCACGCGCCCCAGGGCAGAGTGGGGAGTGCCCGAGCTAGAGAACCAGACCCCCATGCTGCAGCGCGGCCCCGCTCTCTGCACTGCCCGCCCTGGGCTTCGGGGGCAGAGCGTGGAGGTGCTGGGCCAGCGGGGAGGACAAAGGCCATGTGGCCTTCTTCCCAGCTGTTCTGGGAGCTAAGACGAAAGTTATCTCAGAAAGAAAGACAGGAGAAAGATGGCCCAAGGCCTGAGCATGGGGCAAAGGCGCCCCCCGTCTGGATCCATCGTAACCCCGGAGTTGAGGGGTGGGGCGCCTAGGAGGAAGTCTGGCAAAGAAGGCCCAGCCCCACAGGCTGGCGTGCCTCCCCAGCGCCCCATGGGCCTTGGACACGGGCGTGGGCCGTAGGAGAAAGGCCCGAGTCTGGGCTGCCGTCCTGGCCGGGCGGCACTGCCCTGCGCAGGCAGCATACGCAGCACAGCGAGGAGATGTCGCCGAGTGTCGCCACACGTGCTGCCGTGGGCCTTTCTCAGAGTGATAGCCGGAGGTCGCTGCCAACTTGACCTCAGCACAGAAGAGGAGTCCAATCTTAAGTTTTCTCCACCAATAAAAGGTCGCAATAATCCTTGTTCAGCCCTTGTCTTGGGGCTGTAGGGAGAGCAAACCCTGGACGGTAGCAGGAGTTAAGGCAGCCTGGGAGAAGACAGTTGTGTGCAGACAACAGTCCCAGTGTGCATACCGTTTGATCCTGAAAACGTGATGCCTAGTGAAAAAAGTACAAAACAGAATGAGATCTTCTCTAACTAGTCATCCTGTATAATAAAAGGCTAATGTGCAAATCGATTGAACGGAGGAATGACTGGTCGCTATGACGCTCACTGACCACCAGGGGGCAGACGCTCAATGCAGGAGCTGCCCCAGGCAGGCAGGGCGCTCCCACAGGGGAGAGCTGCTCAGCCGGAAGCCGAGTTCATGGCTGGCGAGCGCAGCGGCCAGTGCGAGCCTCTCCCGCCTCCGTGGCAGCGCTAAGGATGTCCGGCTGCCGGCGTGGGCCCGCGCTCTGGGGAGGTGGGAGGGGCAGAGGGAGTGGGCCTACGCCGGCAGTCGGACATCGCCCGAGGGCTGCCGGACTGCGAGAGGGCACAGGCCAGGCTGAGGGACTCCCCGAGTTCACAAATTTCATGCACGGGGCCTCTAGGGTAAAATAAAAACATGTGCCCAATGTGCTTAAAAGAACAATATGGAGATAGCAAGAACACATGGCCCTCCTTAGAGAATGAACTGGGAGGTGTTTCATCAGGCACCATCTGTTGAAGGACACTGGAGCCTGTGAAGGGTACAGAGGGAGCTGAAAGGATGATCCTTGCTTTCCCTGAACGTGGGGACACTCAGCATGTGTTTAGTGAGCACCTGCTGTATATCGGGCCTGGGTGTGCGCACAGCAGCAAATCAGGCCTTCAACCAAATGGCCAGCACTTTGCGGGGGTCAGGGGTCGGGCTGAGGTTTCACAGAGGTCACTCCGCCCTGGGAGGTGTGGAGAGGAGGGGGTCCTGGGCAGGCTGTGCGGAGTTATCTCCCAGAGGGAACTGTGACCCGAGGGGCCCCTGCCTTCCCTCGGGCTGCCGGATACGGGAACGGACCTCTGTGGGCCGGGCTGGGGCACTTTCCGGCTGCTGGGTTCTCACCCGACAGGAGGTGGGGTCTGCAGCGATCCCCTCCCCTGCCTTGGCGTCGCTTCAGAGACCCACATTCCGGGGACCCCTGTATTGAACACACTGGCCTCCCCACACTTCACGGGGCCCCCCTGTTTGCCTGGGGCTGTTCTTGTTGAAAGGGGGTGTCACTGATGGCGCCCCTCCCCACAGTGTGTACCTGCTGCTCCAGCTGCAGGACCAGGAAAGGTGAGTAAGCAGCCGCCTGCGTGAGCGGCCCTCGCCCCTAACCTCGAGCTGGTACCTGACCGGGCTCCCTGTCCGCGGCACGGTCTGGGGAGGGGCAGGAGGTTAGCTCCTTAAAACAGCAAACCTGTGTCACCTTACCGGGTCTGTGGCTTACCTAGCAGATCTGCTCGGGGCCTCTCAGGTCCAGTAACGTGTCAGCCGTTGCCGGAAGGATGGGCTCGAGGATCCTCTTGCAGGATGGCTGTCTCGGGGCAGCCACAGTCCCTTCCCCACGGGCCTGTCGAGGGCAGCTTGAGTGTCCTTACAGCATGGCAGCTGCCGGAGAGAGAGAGGAAGAACGTGAATGAGTGAATGCAGGGAGTCACGGCACATCCTGCCGTGTTCTGTGGGTTGGAAGTGAGTCACTGTGTCCAGCCCACTCATGGGAGGAATCCATCTTCACTGTTGAAGGGAGGTCTGGCCATGGGCGTGAGGGCTGTTTTCACACCAGCACAGGGTGGTGGGTGCTTCCTTGAGCTCCGGGAAGAGGTCACAGGAGCTCTCCAGGCCCGGAGTTTGGTCCTGCTGCCCCCAAGGGAGCCCTGGTCCGCTTTGCCACTTACCAGCTGTGTCACCACGTGTGGGTCGCCTAACCACGCTGAGCCTGTTCCCTCAGTTTAAAACGGAGATGGAGATCCCGCCCCCCCCTCATGTGCTGCTGCGAGAGTGGGGTGAAATGGGGTTGGGGGAGGTGATGGTGATGGTGGTGGTGATGGTGGTGATGGTGATGGTGATGGTGGTGATGGTGATGGTGGTGATGGTGGTGATGGTGATGGTGATGGTGGTGATGGTGGTGTTGATGGTGGTGTTGATGGTGGTGATGGTGATGGTGATGATGGTGATGGTAGTGGTGGTGACAGTGATGGTGGTGATGATAATGGCTGTAACCTGGGGCACCTAGGAAACCTTGGGGGTGGGGTGGGGGGCGGGGAGAGCCTGGGTCCCCTGGGCCTGCTGCTGTTCTCTGTGTGACCACTGGGTGGGGCCATGGCCACTCTGCAGTTGGCCATGTTGCTGTCTTGACCTGCTCCTGCTGTTTCCCTAACCTTAGCTGGACAGCTCAGGGACTAGCAGTGGTGCTAGGCCCACCCAGCTCCCTTCACCACCACCACC